TAGAGTGGGAGAGACGTTTTACTGTGGATGCCAGCAGGACTGTGGGGAGAACAGTCTTTATTTCCCCAAAGAGGGGGTGTGGTCCAGGCCCCAGCCCCCTCCGGTGGTTAGTGGGGTGTCTGTGGGGTACAGTGCTGTTCTGGGGTTCCTGGTAAGAAGCTGGGTGGCAGCTGCAGAGGGAATTCACTTTCTCTAGGCCCGGCTTGCTGAGCCCTGTGGGCTGATGCTCAGCTTCATCGCCTTTGCCTTTGTTCTCGGGACTACATTTGGGGGGCTGGTTTGTGGTTGGATGGGAGGGACCCTGGGAGGGCAGCAGGGAGCAGCTGGACAGCCCACTTCTGGAGTTCCCTTTCCTGAGCTGTGTGCTCTGGCCATGGCCTATTGTGTTTTAGAGACCAATGCATTAGTTTCCTTTCAAAAAAAAAATTAATACATGTATACAATATATGCAGTTGTAGCTACGTTCATGTTGGGGAATATAACATATCTTGGTCATTTTTTTTTATATCCCTTTACCCCTACCCTTACTGCCCTTCCCATCTCCAAAACGTCTGCCTTTTTGATTCCTTCTGTCTCTCTTTTATTTGACTCTTTTTCTAACTCTTTGAGAAAGATGGGCTCCAGCCCGGGGTGCGCCGAGTGTGGGTCCCGGGAGCAGGACAAGAGCGGCCTCACAGCTGGTCCCGCACATGTGGCCTCGGGGTGGGAGCCCCTTCCCTCTGACAGTCTGTTTGCTTCCCTGGGAAATGGGGCCCATGTTCCCCAGGCTGTGGGAGCTCCCACTTCCTGGGGCTGGGCATTTGAAGGCAGTACCCCAGGATAGTGCTGTTGGGTTCTGAATCCGGTTTCCAGATGAGGAATCTGGGTCAGAGAGAGGGGGGGTGTTCCCCAAATCACCCAGTGGTGGGGCGAGGAGGTCTGTCTGCTCGGAATAGTGTACAACGTGGAGTGATGGCCCCGCCTGGGAAGCACCCTGTACCCAGAAAGTGGTCTGGTATCTTACTCAGGGCTGCAGAGCACCGGTCGGCTTCTGGGGACAGAGACCTGGCTCCCAGCAAGCCCTGTGGTTCTGCCTAAGTGTGGCAACTTGGCTTAGATGCAAGAGAGTCCGTCCCTCCTGGATGGAGCTGGTGGCCTTGGGCTCCTGAGTCTACACTTGTGGGCCTAGCAAGTGATGAATCCCAGCATCTGCTTGGTTGCTGGGGAAGGAGGTCCTCTTTAGGGGTCCTGGGCTTCAAAGACAGAGTCAGGGGAGCAGGAACGCCAGAGTCAGGGGGGAGGGAAGCAGGTCCATGACCCTTCCTGAGGACAGAGGCAGCTACAGGAGTTTGCATGTGAGTCCTAGGAGAAGCGCACAGAAAGACTGTGGCCCTGGCCTGGGGTCATACACCATGTCGGCAGAGGGTCACCTGCCAGCCCTGCTTGTGCTTAGGGTTGGGTGGGAACAGGGGAAGCGTCTCCCAGTCTGCTGCCACCTCCACAGCTTCCTTTGGCATGCTGGTGGGGGCTGGAGAGGCTTGGAGAATGGAAATGTGCTCCCTCCCCAAGACTGTGCCACATTCCTGCTTCTGAGCACAGAAACGGGCCAAGAGAAGTGGAGGAGGCTGGTGAGGGTGACTTGGGGTCCTTCCCCCCCCCCCACATCCAGCCAACTCTCCAGGGCCCCTGGCTCCTTGGTCACCCCCCTCTGCTATAGGAAGTACTTTTAACAAAGGGAGGTGGTGGGATCCGGGTGGAGAGGAGTGAGTGTCCCAGCAGAGGCTGTGCCCAGAGGGGCACTGGGCTCCTGCCCCTTCTGACCCGACCCGAAGCCCCTCCAGCCGCCTGCCCACCACCTCAGCCTCCAGCTCGGCAGCCAATCCTCCATAAAAGGATAAGGATCGAATTCCTCACTTTTTAAGTCGCACAAAAGCTGTATGCATAATTAATGCGCAATAAATGTGAGCGGCGGGAAATTAACTAAATGAAAAAAGGAATACACTTAATTGTGAAAATTTAATTTTGCCTTTATTCTTTTCTTTCTTTCCCTCTCTCCCTCCCCTTTCCCCTGCCCTTTTACAACTTGTTATATTCCTGGAGCCCATCAAATCTTGCTGGAGATCACAGTGTGAAAGAGTCGCCTCCTGACCTCTTGCCAGGGACGGGGGACAAGATTAGTCTTAAGCTGTAGCCTAGTCAGTTACTTTCAGCCGAGTTTGAGGGTGCCCGCGAGCTGGGGGTTATTGTGTCGCACAAAGGACTGTTGTAATCATTCCCCAGGCCCTTCGCTGGGGGACCTTGATGTCTAATTTTCAAGGCTTTGGTAGGTGCAATTTTGAGAGTTGCCTTTGGAAACTCAGAGGGAAAGCCTATCATGCTATTTAAAATTCCTAAAATAAATTCAGTGGTTAAATGTCAAAGGACTAAATACATTTACATATATTCAAAGTATTTTGAGCAGTAATATCTAAGGGCCCTTTCTTCTAATTTTTTTTAAAGGACAAGACCTTTTCTCGGTGGTAAGATTGGGTGATGAAATTTCCCAGTGGAAAAATTTATCGACACATTCTTATTGTCACATCTCTTAATAAAACCCGAAGATTCAACTTCAAGAAACAACCCATCCACTTGAAAGAGAATTAAAAAATTTTTTTAAAGACAAAAGCTCTGCTAACCAGATACTTTAAAAAATGATTTATTGCACACACATAACAACAACAATAACCTAAACTATCAAGTCCTTGGAAATAAATCACTGCCGATCCCATCTCCCTAACAGGCCAGCTGTTTTCCTGCTTCTGCCGTCTTTTCCAGCCCTGGTCTGTATCAGCAGATAATTTTCAAAGTGGCAGGAGAATCGAGAAATGGAACCCAGAGTCATTTTAGCTGTTTGAGAAAAAAAAAAAAAATGTGTTTGGATAGCTGATAGCTGGCCCTTCTCAAGTCTTTCCAAAAAGTAGCTGACTCAGGTTGTCTCTGGGTCTTCCTGTTACCAGATTAATGAAAAATAAGACAACTCCTCGCACTCATTGTCACCTCTGCCTGGGTTCTTGGTCCTGTGTTGGTGAACTCCAGTTATCCGAGAGTTGCCTGGTCATTGGGTACCATGGCTGTACCAACCACATCTGTACTGTAGACCCTCCTGGCCAGGGAGCCGTACGTGCCGGCTCCACCACAGCCCAGTTGGCAATGTGGCTGCCTCCGTGAACAGGTGGCTCACAGAGGACGGAGAATAGGTAGTGGGCCAGGGTAGCAGGCAGGTTCGGCAACAGTCGGTTCAGCCCAAACCCTCCAGCAGCACCGGCTGCACCCCAGCTGCAGACCTTTGCATTAGACAGCTTCTGACACTAAAACACCAGGTCTGCTGGCCGTTGTCATAGGAATGTAATATCCTCTGGAGGACTCCTTATTAAAACCAAGGCTTGCTGCTACTGCCTGGGATAGATTTCTATTCCATTTGTATTGATCACAGGGAAATGTCTCATTCCCTAGTTGACAAATATGGCCAGCAGGGAGTTAGTTAGCATTGGGTGGAAAACATTTGTTTCCACGGTGATCTTGGGAAACCTGAGCTGGAGCTGTGGTCTTCTCGAGGTCCTGAGGGGTGAGCTCTAGCAATGAAACGGAATTACAAGTTTGGGGATTACCGTTTTGCAGAACAATAGAACCTGGCAGGGGGCTGCAGAAATATTTTGATGCAGCCACTTCAGTTCCCAGACCTGGGGCCAGGGAAAGGGACTGGCAAGGTCACAGAGTTGTAATGGCATTTCTAGGAACTGTCAGTGAAGGCAAAAGATATTCACAGGTAAAAGGTGGGCAGCTACCTTCATGTCTGTCACAGGTAAAAATGCTGGTGTCAGGCAGAATCATGTTAAATTACTATTTTTGCTGTTCAGCCGTGGTTGGCCCACACATGACTGTCAATATTCAATCTATTGCACCTATGGAATGGAGTGGCACTCAGGAACAAAATGAAGAAGTCTCCCAAGCTATATTATTAAATGAAAAAAAGCAAGCGGCAGAGTGATGTACCTGTTACGTTCTGTATGTGATTTCAACAAGGAAGCACATACACATTTGCTGGTCTAAGCCTTGGCTCTCTGGAAGGAGACAAGAGAAATTGTTCAAGCTGGCTGCCTGGGGAAACGGAAAAGATGACAGCAAAGCTGACTTTTTGTTTTACAGCCTCTGCACCTTGTGTGTACGGCAGCTATCACTCAGTTAACATTAGAACAAAGATCAAAATGTCAGCAGAGCCCTCCCTACTAGGGTTAAGAGCTCAAAGTGCTCTGAGGTCTGTGATTCTGGGCTTCATGGTTCTTTATCCCCTAGGGCCTCAGTTTTCTGCTCTGCCCAGTGGGGATAATGGTAGTGTTCACTTCCTGGAGTGGAAGTGAAGATTTCCATGAGATTTGAACGAGAAAGGCTCAGCCCAATGGCCCAGAGAGGTCGGTGAATGTAGCATGTCATCACAAACGACACATGAATCATCACACACCCGCACGCATATAAATCCTCACACTAACTCGCTTGGCACTTTGGTTTTGATGGTTAAAAACTCTCTGTGCGTGTTCAGAAACTGAAGCTGAGAGTGCTGAGCATTCTGTCTGTTTGGGGGACTGTTTTGCTGCCTCGGTGATGGTCCACGCTGAATTTACATGGTGGGTCTGATGCTTTTTTCCTCCCTGAACCAGTAAATGGTCTTGCGCATCTCTGTGTACACAGGCAGGTGAACTAATAGAATTAAGCTTATTGGTTTAATTCCTCTGGGGCCCCTTGGCAAGAGGAGAGCAGCTGGATGAATATTTTAATTAAGCTCTGACACCCAGAAGTCCAAGTCCCCGAGTGGTCCCATTGGGCAATGTCTCGCAGTTTGGGGTTTAATCAAGTGCGGCTTCAGAGTTCAAATTTCTTCCTGGACAGAAATATGTCATTAGGCGTCCAAGATTTCCACTGGAAAAAAAAATACAACTTGACTATATTTTCTCTAGAGAATGACACCATGATTCGATTAGCCCTTTTCCTTGACATTTTGCCCACTTTATTAACTTCTGCTTTGCTTTTAAGGAGGCAACTACTGTTTTACTTCCCTGAAGAAGCTCATAATATTATAATTCAAGTGTCAGGACAGATTAGGTTAAACGAACTGTGTAATTCCCGAAGGAAAACAAACTTCAAAACGGACGCGGTTAGCCTTGTAACATGTCATGGATTGCATTAGCGTCGAGCGGCCGATTCCGTCACCTCATGTGCTAAAGTTGGCTCAGATGTCCCCCACTCTGCAAGGTGAGAAATTACTTAGCTAACAAAACATTTAGTTTTCCTCTTTGCATTCTTTCTTTATGAGATCCTGAATGTGACATTTTCACTAAAAAATCTCTGTGCTTATTTGTGAAAAATGTATATTAAAACCAAAGCCCATCAAATGGAAAGAAATCACAGATGGTTTTATTCACAAGCGGTAGAATTAATGGCCACTCTTCTCTTTATAAATATTAGAAGCAGATGAGTTCATTACGATTTCACCCTAATAAAGAAAACCTGCTTGATTTTGACAAGACATCGACTTATCTAATATATCTACTAAATAACAAAGCTACTTTCCGCCCGTAAAACACAGTCCGAAATCACCGGCTTTACCTGGGCTGCTTCTAAATTAATGAAAAACACTCAAAATTCTGCAAAAGAAAGCGTGGTGGAGGTGGTGGGGTGGAATGCGAGGGATTTTTGAAAATGTGACTGATTTTGAAAAGAGGAGGTTTTGAAATGTTTACTTTGTGGTGGTTTGAAATTTTTACATCTTTCAACAAAGCGGGCAGAGAAGTGAAACCATCTGAAAGGGCTTTTGAAAAGAGCGATTCAGCATTAGTTGGCGAAGCCGAGGCTCCTTTATCTCGGGCAATCTGCGCCTAGCACTTCGCGCTGCGGCGGGAGGCCGGGCCCTGAGTCCCGCTCCACCCGCCGAGCCCCAGCGGCCTCGCCCGGCTTCAAAGCGCAGTTGGCGGAGCGTCCTGGGAGGGAATCGGACACCTCGCTCCGGGGACCCTCGGGCAGGCTCGTTCTTCTCCCCAGCGCTGCCGCCTGATGTGGTCATCTCGTTAGTCATGGGAAGCCCGGGTATTTCTGTTTGCGGCGCTTTCACTACTTGTTAAGCAAGAAGTGGGAGGCTTCTCGAGAGACTGCGAAAGAAGTTTGTTCTCCCCAGGGCCACAGCAGCTGGGGGCACAGCCCATCCATCATCGCAAGGGCCTCACAGAGAAATGGAACGAGTCAGCTTGGCCCAGAGGGGGAGAGAAATGGAGGGCACGGGGGCCTCTGTCCGGGACCCTCTTGGCTCAGCTCCAATGAGACCGGCGGAGGGTCCCCGCTGGGGGAGGCAAGCCACACAGCTAGGAAGAAAGGCTCCTCACTGCTCGTGGCTACAGCCCAGCTCTCTTCCCCACTTTCCCCAGCTTGTGGGGCTGACACCACAGTGATCAGACACCTGCCCAAACCTGTCTCGGCTGAGGGAGGGGTGAGAACCACGGTAGATTTTTGTTTTTATTAAAATTCCAGGTGTTGGGGATGGAACTCAAGGCCTCGCACACGTTAGGCAATCGCTCTGCCACTGAGCAACATCCCCGGCCCGGGAAGCCTATCTCTCAGCTGCTCCTTAAGGTAAATGAGTCCAGTACCTCCACATTGTCCCCGAGCCTGCATCCTTCTGGCTGACCAGCACTCTCTTCCTCCAGGCTAGAGGCTGTGAATCTCCAACAGGCCCAGGTGGGCTTCTGGGCTCCCAGAGCATCCATCCAAGCACCTCCTTTGGGTCTCCATTCCACCCGCACCAAACTCCTGGGGAAGCAACAAGTTTGAGCCAAGACCCCATGATTGAAATTCCCCAATAAATCCCTCCCAGCTGAGGGTCTGTCGCTGCTTTAGCAAGTGGAGATGGCGGGGGTTGCAAACTTCAAACAGGACTTGGAGGGTGGGGGGTTGTGCTGAGAGAGGAGGCCACTGACCAAGGGCTCTGAGTTAATTAAAGAGACTGCATGGTTGCACCTATAAAGTGGGCTGTCTGTGTAGTACAGCAGCAGTGATTCGAATCTTTGCAGGTTACCTTCTTGCTCAGGAGAGAGCCTGGAAGCAGGCAGAGTCTGCAACCACGTTTAGCATGGACATTTGCAGCCCACTGTGAAGCCCCAGACAGAAGGACCTGCCCTTCCTTCCACAGGAGCCGATACCTTTCAATGACCCCATTAAACATCGAGGGTCTACTGTGTTCTGGGCACTGGGCTGGGCACATAACCTAGAGGACACAGGCCACTGCCTGGCCCATCTTACAAGCGAAGGGCGCGAGGCTCAGACAGGCAGACTCACCAGCTCAAGGCCAGCCTGTAGTGTAGGAGAATCAGGCTTGGGACTCATATCCTCTAGCTCCTGCCACTGGTTGGAGTCAGGGTCAGGGCAGGGACCAGTGGAGCCCAGTACTGCTTACCTGGCACCCTCCTTTTGGCCTTGCTCCCTGGCACTGCCCATGACATTCAATCAGGTGGTGGTGATGTCTGGCCCAGCCGTCAGGGCAGGGCCTCCCCAGCTTCCTGGCGACAAATGGTTCTCATTTGAAAGGGAGGTTATAAAAACACATGCCCGAAGACACTGTCAGGGAGCTGAGGATTAATCTCATTTCAGTCAAAGACCATTCCAAATATTTTTCTGGTGGTGGTGGGGAGTAGGGCTGGGCAGCAGTCCTGGCTGGGAAGGAAGTCTGGGTTCCCCAGCGCCCCTCAGGAGGGCCACTGGGAGGTGTGTTGTGTCACAGGCTGCCGGGCTAGGTCGCTCCTACTGAGCAAGAACCCTGCTTTGCTGCCCAAGTCCCCGAGGCTGGCTGTGCGGGAGGCCTGCACTCTGCCATGGGCGTGCACACCATGTTCACTATCTTGGCTCGGTTTCAGCGCCATGTAAGTTGCCAGAAGGAAGGGATGGATTACACGCCTGGGCCATTTTCATTTTCTGGGTGGGGTCAAAAGCGTAGTGGTTTTTCCTGGTTTCTCAACCAGAGAGCCCTGAACACCAGCTAGGGGACGGCAGTACCACTGGGGCCCTGCTCAGACATCTGTGGGCCACGTAGGGAGTCGCCTCTTCAAGTTAGGGACTGGGGAGCACCCCTCTGTGTTGGGCCAGAAGCTTCCAAGCTGGGGCCCTGGGTCCCTAAAATGATACCCTGTAATTGAAAGCACATTACCACCCACCCCAATGACAGAGTGTGGAGGTGCTGGGTGACAGTCTGCAGTCTCCTCCGTACAGTGACCCTGGAAGGGCTTTCATTAAACCCATTTTACAGCTGGGGAAACTGAGGCTCAGGAAGGTCCAGGTGGCTTGCCTAAGGCCTGCAAGTTGGGCAACAGTGACATAGGCATCTCCTTACCCTTGTCAGCTTTTCAGAGCAGGGATTGTTTGACCTCCCTGCTTCACAGGTTCGGAGGTTGGGGCTCAGTATGAGTGTGGAGTGGGGGCGGGGCCGGGAGCTCCTGCCCCTCCCGTGATCCCCCTCCCCGAGGTTGGCCAGAGTGGCTGAGCCGGGCCTGTTCTCCCACAGAGCCGTCCAGGTCTACATGGGCTGCTCGGCAGCGGCTGGCCTCCTTCCAAACACACGTCGGCAGCGCGAAGCCAAGGGACTTATTTTCCGGCCGTCAGAGGAGCTCCCCTGAGCTCCGCTTTCTCTGTGCGAGGCTCGGGGACTCACCGGTGGGGCGAAGATGGGGGCGACCCGCGGAGCGCAGTGAGGGCCAGCCCCGGCACAGCGCCCCGGTGTGGCTGACCAGGTGCGAGCTGGCTGCCCGACGGCGGGATCCCAGGGGCTGGGGCACCGAGGGGCCTTGGGTACCCGTCCACGCTGCTCTGCAACCCTCCCGGAGCCTGGCCCCGCCCCCACCCCACCCCTCAAAAGGGATTTGCTGCAAAGTGCTTTAACGGGGACCTCCGATAGGCTGTCCAGGCCCTTGCAGGGAGCCACCCTAGGGCGCCCCCACTAGGCAGTGAGGTGGGGTCCTGGAGCCTAGCCCTGGTTGCCCAATCCCAGCAGGAAGCTCTGATGTGCAGGAGCGGGGGTGGGGGTAGTGGCAGTGACTCAGGCCCCGAGCGCCCCAACCCTCTGGCAAAATCCAGCAGGGAACCTGTTGGGAGCAGCTCTTTGCATAAAGTGAGGGCTCCCACACTGGCGGACCGGTATGGGGTGGCTAGGGTCTCGTGGCTTTAGATTATCAGTCCTTCCTGCCCACTCTGGAGGGGCCTTGTGGGGCTTCCACATGGCCAAACGCTGCCTGCTGGGCCTCTATTCCAATACCCTGACTCCCCTGGGGCGACTGTGTAAGAGGTCTGGTCTCAGTTTCTCCACCTAAAAGCCCTGGGTGGCTGGCTACTGTCAGCCTGGAGCCCCAGGGTCACCCAAGACTGAGTCCGTCTGACCTCAGGAACTCTCTTGTCCTTTAACACCCCGTCCCCACCCCAGGACAGGCCAGCACTTGTCAAATGAGCAAATGCCACACCTGCCGTCTGTTCACCCCTCACCTGAAACATCTTTCACCCCAGGGCCACCCCTTAGAGCTCAGGGCATACTTTGGCTCCCAGGGAAGGTACTGGCAGACATAAGAGCCATTTGCAGAGTTTGGGAGGATAGGCAAAGGTCCTGAAACAAGATGAGCCAACCATAAAGGAAAGGATGATAACTGGAACACACTCATTACTAATTTCTGTTCATCACAAGATACCACTATGAAGTGAAGGAGGCACACCCCAGCGAGGGGAGAGATGTGTGCACCTATGTCTACTTTGAAAATACATAAGGAAGATAAGGAATAAAGTAAGAAAAAGAGGAACAACCCAATAGAAAAATGGGCAAAAATCAGATTTTCAAAAGATATACAAATGTCTAATAAACATGAACACATGCCCAACCTCATTAGTCAATAGGGAAAGACAAATTTCAACTATAATGGGATATATCACATCTAAAATTGCTAATTTTAAAAAGTCTGAAAATACCTGATTTGTTGTTGAGGCTCTGGAACCACTGGAACTGTCTATACACTGCTGGTGTGAGTGTAGGTTGCCGCAACCAATTTGGAGATTGCTACAATTATGTTAGAAGGAAGGCCACTTGGATGTAGTTCGTGATTCTGATGCTCCGCCTCCTCTGTAACCCAGCAATTCCACTCCTAGATACATGTTCAACACCAGTGTGTCCATGTGTCCACTAAGGGAGACAATCTCTCGACCATTTGTCATAATATGCCTATTTTAGGATCAGTACCACACTGCTTTAAAAATTTATTTCCCCCCAATTTTAGAGCAGTTTTAGATTTATAGAAAAATTGCACATTTCCCTCTACTCTCATGCCCAACTTCCTGTTATGGAAGTCTTACAGTAGTGTGGTATCACACTGTTTTCATTAGGTTTGCAGTGTCTATGTCTGGAAGAATGAATCCCTCTTACTATTTTCTTTTTTCTTTGGTACCAGGGATCGAACTCGGGTCCTTGCGCTTGAGCAGCAGGTGGCGAAACCACTGAGCTGAATCCCCGGCCCCACTGTTTTCCTTTTAAAAAATGTTTAGTGTGGATTTTTATTCTTCCAGAAACATTTTATCATTTTAGGATAACTTCGTCAAATTCTGCCAGAACTCTTGCGTGGTTTTTTTTTGGTTTTAAAATATTTTTGTGATTTAAAAATTTTTTATTACTTGTTGCTTGAATTTTGATGTGTATATTAATCAGAGAAGACTGGCATCTTCACATTAATTCAATGAACAAATAGCAGGGGCCTATTCTGTGCCAGACACTGCCCTATCTATGGGGCAGATGTCCAGACAAAGGCTCTTGCTCTCCTGGAGCTTATAATGTTCTTGTGGAAAGGGATTTGAGGGCAATAAGATAAGTGTAGAATACTTTTCCATTTTTTGAGAAATAAATTTGTCTTTTGAGTATTCAAAAATCTTCAGAGAAGCCTTGCCCTTCTTTAATTCCTAGCTGTCTTATGGTTCTCTTATTTTTTATTTTATTTCCTTTTTGGTTGTTATCCATGTAGAGCAGTGATGGTGAAGCTTTTAGAGCTTTTGATGATATACACAGCCTGCTGTGGCACGCGTGCCATAGGCTCCCTACCACTGATATAGAGATAATGCTATTTATTTTTGGAAGTTGTTTCTATGTCTCTACAACCTTGCCTAGGTCTCTCATTTGTTCTAACAGTTTGTTGGTTCTATTCGGTTTCATATGTAATGATTATATAACCTGCCAAGAATGATGGCTTTGTCTTCTCCTTTTTGATCCTTATACTTCATTTCTTTTGCCAGTGATGAGGTGGAACCCAGGGCCTCTTGCATGCTAGGCAAGGGCTCTACCACTGAGCTTTATCCCCCAGCCCTATGCTTCATTTCTTTTTCTTGTCTTACGGCGTTGGCTTAGATCTCCATTGCACCCTCAGGAAATAGTGGTAGTGGCATGATTGACTATCCTGGTCCTGAAGAGGATGCGTATAGGGATAAGGTATTTGCCAAATGCATTTTCTGCATGGGTTGAGGTGATTGTAGCAGTTATTAACGTGATGACACACAGATAGCCATTTTCAGTGTTGAACATTCTTGGGATGACCCCATGCAGTCTTAAAGAATGAGTTTTTGATATGCTGCTGAATTCAGTTAGATAATATTTTATTGAGGATTTTTATGTCCATGTTCATAAAAAAGGCTTCTAATTTTTTGTGTGCATGTACAGTGGACCTTTGAGTTATGACTAGCCTGACATACAAACAACTTGAGTTATGACTGGAATTTTTGATTTAACTTACAAACAAAGTCTGGACTTATGACCCCAATGCTGGCTGCTTGTGCTTCCAGATGGTCTCAGATAGAGTTCTGGAAGGAACATGACAACATCCTTTCCTGTGTGGGGTTCATTGAGAAATCCTGGGCCAATGTCTCTCTAAGGACACTGAGATCTGCCTGTGTACAGGAGAGAGACTTTGAAGGCTGTGTAGAGGAGCCTGAGCCTTTAACTGACCAACTTGAGTCACAACCAGCCCTTGGGAATGGATTGAGTTGGTAAGTCAAGGGTGCACTGTACAGTATTGTCCTTATCTTCTTTGGAATCAGCTTAAGATGAACGGGGTGGCCTTCCTCCTTCTCCTGTGTTCTAGACTGAGTTGTTTCAGAAAAAGTTTGTTATTTCTTGAGTAAACTCAGCCATAGGATTAATAATTTGGCTCTGGGGATATTGAGAGAAAGAGGAGAGATCTTTGATTTTACTGTTTAATAGTTATTTTTATGCTATTTTTGATGTTTTATCTTTTTCCAGATATTTAATGATATATGATTACTAAGATATTGTTTTTAGTTAGTTGTTACATTGTAGTTAATTTTGGCTTAAAAATTGTTATTAGCACATGTTTCAATACAAAATGATTACATTTATCATGGGGAATTAGTACACGTACTTAACACATCATAATTCTGTTTTCTGCCCCCTCACCCTCTCCTCCCTCCCTGCTTCTTTCATTCCTTGGTCTCCTTCCCACCAGCACAATTCATAACAGCTAAATCTTGGAAGCAGCCTATATGTCCATCAACAGATGAATAGGTAAAAAAATGTGGTATGTATACATAATGGAGTATTAGTCTGCCATAAAGAAGGATAAACTTGAGTCATTAGGAAAATGGATGCACCTTAAGACCATAATATTGAAATAAATCAGACACTCAAGCTTAAATATTACATTGTTTCTCTTATAAGAGAAACAAAAATAAAGAGCAAAATAAAGATAATAGGAAATAGGGAGATCTTTTTCAAATAGGAAGGGGGGAACAAGAGATGAAGCAGGGGGAGAGATAAGAAAGAGGGATGAAAAAAAGAATTGGAAAAAATGTAGCCAGAATTCATTGTCTAAATTCTTGTTATTTCCATCTTCTCTCTTGTCAGAAGTCCAGTCTTTTCAAAGGGCAAGATTTGGACTTTTTTCATAATTTGGTTTTGCTCTACATATTTCATGGATTCTGCTTTTATTCTTGTTTTTCTTTTTTCTTTTCTTTTTCATTTTCTCATTGCTCTTTTCCTATCTTCTTCAACTGACAACTTTAGTTGGTTTTCAGTCATTTTTGGTTTTGGATAAACAAAGTCATTATATCTACTGCCTCTACTGTTTTCCATGAATTTTGATATGTGGAGATTTCATTATCATTTTGCTCTAAGATGCTACTAACTTCCCTTATGGTTTCCTCTTATTTAGCTGTGTGTTTTGTGTTTTGTAATCAGGTGCAATTTTAAAATGCTATCACTCTGTTATAAATTTCTAATTGTATCACCAGGTGATCAGAGACAATCTTAGGTATTATACTGAGTCTGGGATTTATTGAGGCTTCCTTTATGACTCCTCTAGTGGCACTGGATACATGTGGGTCTATATTGGGTTGAAAGTTCTGTGTTTATTCAGGCTACTCAAATCTTCTGCATCTTCTGCTCGTATTTGATCAGTTTGACTACAGTTTCTGAGAGAGGTATAGTAAAATCCTCAAGTGCAACTGCTGATTTATCTGGCTTTTTCTTATTGGGCGTGTCAGTATTTCAGAACTGATGGGCTCTTATTCAAAACAACCTGCCTGTGTCTCTGGGAGGACACTCTGTGTTTCTATGAAACTCAAGTTCTGTTGGATCTGTGACTTCCACAGTGGGCTGTTCAGTGTTTTGTCTTCCTTTTGGTGGATGAGCTCTTCTGGTGCCTATTTTTTTCTGTCAACTTATTATTCTTTGGGATGCAGCTCCATGGACTGGTACCGTGTATCTGGGTGGGTGAGTTAGCTTTCTGTTGCTGTGACAAAATACTTGAGATAAAAACTTAGGGGAGGAACAATTGTTTGGCTCATGGTTTCAAAAGCTTCAATCCATGGTCTCTTGGCCCTGTTGTTTGGGCCTGGGGCAAGGCAGAGCATCATGGCAGGGAGTGCTGGCTGGAGGAAGGCTGTTCATTTCATGGTGGCCTGGAAGCAAAGAAAGAGAG